CATAACTGTTTGCTGGAGTAAAAAGCCCATTCTTTCTCTTGAGGACCTGTTGGTGGTTTTGAACTGCCGACCATGCGGATCGCAGCCCAACGTAGCCACTACACCACCAGGGCTCAGTCAAGTAATTAAACAACATATTGCATGTGGACTGCACTGAGCAAATCTGCTGCCAAAGATCTCTTTAAATTTTACAAAAAAGAGCACCACTTAACAAAGAAAGAAAGAAAGAAAATACCACTTTGAGGACTGAAGTGCATCTGCCCCTAGCCCTGGCTCTGCCAAGTACTTCACACGTGTGTGCGAGCTGCACATCAAAGGGAGGGGAAGAGTCACCGCAATCCAACGGTGGGGCTGCTGAGGCACACTGAACAGACCCCCGGACTTAGAAGAAGCGTAGCTGGAACGTTCCTTAGAAGTGAGGACCGTGAGCCTTTGGCCCACTTACTTGGGACACGATAGATGCATCATTAGGGAAGACCATCAGGTTTGGGAACATCAGCAAAAAATGAGGACAACTCTCAATTCCTTCAGTCCATCCTCAGCGAGATGGATTGACCCAACAGCCCCAACAACTGCCAGGATGGAGGCGCGCCAACCATCGTGAAAATGCTTCCTTGCTCTACGTGAGGTCTCCGGGAATCAGAGGTGACTCAAAAGTCCGACTCCAACACAGAGCAAACGACAGAGGTTTTCGATGTTTGTAAGTGGAAGAAAGCACGTCTCAGCAGAGTGTATATGTATGTGTGTGTATATATATGTGTGTATATATATTTATATATGTTTTCATTGCACACGTGGTATGAGCTATTGGAGAATGATACACCAAGTTGTGTGGATGGCTGCGGTAGAGTGAGATTTCTTAATAGGGCTCCTCTTCTACCCATGTCTCTGTAATGCCCGCCAAATAACTGGGTGGGACTGTGCGAGTAGGGTGTGTACAGCATTCATAGAGGGGATGGGGCCGTTTTCTTTACCAAGCCCCTGGTTATAAGGTTGAGCCTTCTTTGAAGCGGGAGCAGAGCGCGAACTCGCAGGACCACGGTAAGTGAAGCACATTTGAGACCTGTCTTAAGTGGTGACAGCCAAGGCCGCAGGCAGCAGAGACCACGACAAGGAGACAGCACAGAGGCTCAGCACCGAGACTGTGGGACACAGGCACAGAGGGTTGGCTTCCTAGCCCACAAGGGCAGAAGCCAAGGGACCTGGTGACTGAGAGGCTGAGGAACAGAGACTCGGCTGCTGGCTGAGGAGAGGGGTTGCTGTGGACCAATGGCTGGATCCTGAATGGTCTCTGGTCCTGGCTTGAGCTTACATGTGAACTCTGCTAATAAATCCCCTTCGCTGTAAGTATTGTCTGATTTCAGGTGTGGCCACTGCAACACAATGTCTAATTCCTCAGAGGGCGCTTTGGGAAGAAGAGTTGGTGTCAGAACAGGAGAACGGAAGCTGAGGCCTGTCTGATCTCTGCCTCACGGCAACAGGGAAGCCAGAGGAAGTCAGAAAGGGCCACCTCCGTGCCTTTTATCTAACGGTGAATTGGCTCATGAAGAACCAGGTCAGAGAGATGGGCTAGGACTTTTTACTCTTCTGGAGTCTATGCTGGAGTTTTTAACAAGAATCATATGGTACCTATGCTGCTGCTGCCGCCACCAAGTCGCTACCTTCTCCATGCCCAAGAGGAAGAACAAAGTGCTAGCCCGTCCTGTACCAGGCACACCATCAGTTGCAGATGGGACCGTGTGGTCCAGAGGGTTTTCATTGCCTGATTTTCAGCCAGGCCTTTCTTCTTAGTCTACTTCAGTCTGGAAGTTCTGGTGAAGCATGGTCTGCATTATAGATTGTAGGATAAAAACGTTAATGGTCATCTATGGTTACATAATGGATTACTGCAAACTGAATGGCTCTAAGCAACACGGATCCATGATTTCATCGTTTCTGTAAGTCAGAAGTCCAGACAGAGCTGAACTGAGCTTAAGACCCCACAAGGCTGCAGGCATGGTCTTGACCAGAGATGAGTTCTCATTTGGAGCCTCAAAGAAGGAAAAGTCAGCTTTTCCTTAGCGTGGTTGTTAGGGGGATTTCATTGCTCAGGGGTGTCAGATTCATGGCAGCTGGCTTCTTCAAAGCCAGCAAGAGAAAGAGGGCAAGACTCTGCCACCCTGAGTCTGATAGCCACGCAATGCAATCGCAGGCAGGACGGGCCCTGCCTGCCGCCACCTTCTATTGGCTAGAAGCAAGTCACAGGCCCTGCCCACTCTCGGCAGGTGGACGGGGTGTACACAAGCAGCTGAATGCCTAGAAGAGGGACGTGGACACATCTTACAGTCTGTCTCCTACAAAGCCCAGTGAAGTCTTGGGTGAGCATGTGAGGGACAGCCAGGGAGACGGCGTATATGGTTATAGTTCAGGATTGGAGAGCTCACTGAAGTTCATCAAACGGAGGTGAGCACTAAGCCCACGGTCTGGTTTCCTTAGTAACAATCTGCAAAAGCAAGCTCCCAGGCCAAATACAGCTCACATGTTGCACTGTCAGGAAAGCAGAAGCGAGGTGGCATTGGAAAAACCCAAGTGCAGCGCTCTGATGAAATGGCAGCGTGATTTATCACCGTGGTTTTTCCTAAAAGAAAACCAGACCTAGTCTATAACTGTGAACCAAGCAGTACGAAAAGGGGCAGCAAAGAAGAGACCAGGACACAATCAGCTTGGTGGGAAGTTGTCTGGTGTGAAAGGCTAAGCTTCGACGTATGTGACATGTATGGGGGTGGGGGGGCAGGGAGGAAACAAGACAATAAGCCAGATACAATCGAAGTTCCTCATCCTTCCGAGGCGCTTAGTGCAGAGTAGTACAGACGATCCAGCAGGAAGAACAAAGGGAGGGGCAGGGGCCATGTCGCCTGACCAGGGAGCCCCACAGAAAGGCTTCAAAGGACTGTGCATCTTTAGTACTATAAAAAGGTGAGGGCACAAACAGCATAATTTAAAACACTACTAGAAAACACTTCACATACGAAAAGGTCTAAGTAAAGCAGGGTTTTATAAAGTGATCAAAAAAGAACCACCAAGGGGGAAAAAATCTTTTAAGATTAAAGAGGCTTTTCAAAGGACAAGTTGAAGTGGTTGTAAACTTTGTGAGGCAGCATGAAACTTCAGTTCTGAGTAACAATAAATTATTCACCATAAAAACATACACGTTTCAAATATTATAAGGCACCTTAAACTTTTAAAGACAATTTCTTGAGGAATTCCTTAGACACACGAGGTCAACATGGGCCAACACTTTTTCAGGAACAGCAGGGAGTCACTTCCGGGAGGAAAGCAGTCCGTGTGATTCATTCCTGCCTCTCGGCAGACCTTTGGACTAGTATCACTGCCCATGGTGCTGCCTTTAAGGGCAGGCAGGTTCAACTGACTCCTATTTGTCAAAGACTCTTGTGCATCATATTACGAACTTGTGTTCACCAAGATGCATACTACAACTGTACATCATGTTCAAGTTAAAAATCCACCCATCAATCAAACTGAGATGTTCAGAGAACGACATCAGGGCAATGTTGTTGGTGCGTGCAGGCCCAATGGAGCTTTCTTCTCCCCCATGCCCGACACCCTGCACCAGAGAGGCCTTTAAGGGTGGCTTTCCACTTCATTTCATTCTTAACCCTGCTCTTGAAGAGCAGGATGCTACCGTATATACTCGTGTATAAGCCGAGTTTTTCAGCACATTCTTTTATTCAGTTTTTGTGGTAAAATTAGGTGCCTTGGCTGATATTCGGATCAGCTTATACTCAAATCTATATGGTAATTAAAAACCAGAGAAGAGCCTCAAGGTCAGTGGGAAAGGCAGCGATCTCCCCGGCAGCGGTGGGGAGTAGGAGGAAGGAGAGCAGGTGCACGGCCTTACAATAGTGACTGAGCATGGCTTGGCTTCACCCTCAGGTTGAAAACTGACTCTTCAGATCCAATCCCTTGATCGTTCATTTGGAACACTCATTTAAACATCTGTAAGTCACACAAACAAACAAATGGGCCCACATGCTCCATTCAGGCCAGGTCACCAGTTTCCATGCTTCCATTCTATGCGTCACGCATTTGATGCTGTTTTCACACTGGAAAATCCTACACCTTAGCCCTTTGCTTCCCAAAATGGTAATACCGCCCCCTAGAGGGCACCGACACAAACCCAAACCAAGAAAACCAAATCTATTTCTGCTCATGCCTGTGGGTCGTGACCCCTTTGGGGGTCAAATGACCCTTTCACAGGGTCGCCAGATTCATAACAGTAGCACTATTACAGTTATGAAGTAGCAATGAGAATAAGTTTATGGTTGGGGGGGGGTCACCACCGCATGAGGAACTGTATGAAAGGGTTGCAGCCTTAGGAAGGTTGCGAACCGCTGCTCCAGAGTGAGGCAGAACGGTCCCTGTGCATTTCCAAGACGGTAACTCTTTGCGGGGGCAGGAAGCTGCCTCTTTCTCCTGATTCAAACTGCTGACCTTGTAGTTAGCAGCCCAATGTACAACCCACTATACCACTTGGGTTAGGGGCTATCGTGCAAGGAGCTCAGATGATAGGTTCTTGACTTACTGATAATGATCTGAGTTCCTGCTTGTCACACAGGAACACATAGGAATACATGACAACATCACTGTTCAGCCACTGGAATATATGAGGAGACTTCAAGAACGTTCATGGAAACAGTGAAATGAAAAGATACTTGTATTTCCCCACAAGCATTGTGAAGCCCCCTCATATGCAAGGTTTAACAGGACCAATAAAAGTGACAAAGAAAACTACCTTGAATATGCATTAAGTGGACAAACAAAACTCTTATATATGCACCCAAAGTCCAATCATTGCCCTTGACTTAAATACATAAAGTAAACCAAATACGAAATATAACTTTTTTTTTAAAGATAGGAAAAATGAAAGGTATGAAACAGTTTCACACACGGGCTGCATGACAAAACCCCTTCCAAGCCCCGCTGTCGCTGTGGTGGCTTACCTGTGGACATCCGTTGGGGAGGGAAGCAGAGTGCTCTCTTCTTCTGAAGAAAGTTTCCATGATTCATTTAATTTTTGGTCACTTGTCCCCAGCTCACCCACGACCCAGTCTGGTAACGCTTCTGGACTTGGAACTTTGGCTTGTGCGGAATTTGGTTCATCGAAATAGATGGACTGATTTTTTTCAAAAATGAGAAAAAGTATTCGTTCAAAATGTAACCATTTGTGAAAATTACATCAATTTTCAAGTTCTTGACAAAAGTCTTTCAAATGCTCTACTTGTGTTAATTTTAGGCAAAGACATACAAATGTATCACTCCATGCACAAGGGACTATGAAGTAGTAAAAGATATAAAATGAACAGCATTTACCTTTGAGTTATGTTCTGATGAGTAAGAAATTCTGGAGAATGGCTGATTGTATAATAGAGTAAGATGACAATAAATATTTGGACTATTAAGTAATTATGAGCATCATAAAAAAAAGTCAAAGAGTTTGGTTCTTTTTAATCATGTGCTCTATTTCTTTAGGCAATCATCAACTGCTTTGTATTAAAAAAATCAGTGAACAGAGAAATGTCTACCAATACAAATCAGAAATGATGAATGTTTTGATCATATGAGAACCAAAAAAGCATTCATGTTGAGAGGAACCTGAGATTTAGTTGATGGCCAGGCCACCCAAGTAGGAGACATCAAGACAAAGCCCTAAACTATCTTACTAGTATTAGTTATAAGTCCCTTCCCTAATACTCTATATACTTCAATGGCCAGTATGGACTACTGGTTTCTCAGTCAGGCTTGTCAAGTATCTCAGAGTTGTAAAGACCAAAGAAGGAGCCCTGGTGGCTTGGAGGCTAAGCGCTTAGTCAACGAAAAGACTAGCCGTTCAAACACACCAGCCACTGCACAGAATTCAAAGTGGCTGTCTGCTTCCAAAGATTCCGGCCTTGGAAACCCAATGGGGCAAGTTCTACTCTGTCCAAGGGCGTCATTATAATCAGAATCACCTCGACAGCAAGGAGGCTCTTTGGTTTAAGGTCTACATTTAATGCAATTGTCAACCAAGCAAAAGAACCGCCTTTGCAAACTAGGTCAATTTGGATAATGACACTACAGGACTCACTGCTAAACCCTAACGCCTTCATTTTATTCGAGTGGAAAAGCACTTTAGACCTCACCTAGTCCCATTTCACTCAGGTTTTGAAATAACACAGGAATTTCGAAAACTCCAACCCACTGAAACATATGAAATACTATTATTATGAGCCCTGGTGGGGTAGTGGTACTCTGCTGCGCTGCTAACGACAGGGTTGGCAGTTCTAAACCACTAGCTGCTCTGCAAGAGAAAGACTAGGCTTTCTGCTCCCATTGAGAGTTACAGTCTCAAAAACCCACGGGGCAGTTCTATCCCGTTCTGCAGGGTTCCGATGACTCATAATCAACTGGATGGCAGGGAGGGAGGGAGTGAAAACTACTGGGAAATTAAGGCTCCATAGAAGTTTTCACTTCCAGGTTTTCAGAAATATGGAAGAACACTGAGGAATGGCCAGGCCAATCTATTCGAGGTAAAAAAAAAAAAAATCAGATCAGGAAGAAAAGAAAAAAAAACAAATTTAACTAATAAATCACTGACTTCCCCAAATGGTTGATAAACTGACACCCACTTTTTAAACAATGGAATTCATCCAACTTCTGTCGCAAGGCACCTACCATGTATGAAGGCAGCGCTCTGAGTGTCCCGGGCTCCGGCCGATGTGCGAAGGGGCCTTCGAGCGTGCCTTGCTTAAGCATGTGCAACAGCAGCTTTGCGTAGAGATTCCGATTCTTCCTGCCCATCACACCCGTGCCTGTTCCCGAGGGCTCACACAGCTTCCTGATCCAAAGGGCACACCTCTGACGTTCTGTGAATACGTAAGACCTATCAGAGACTCGGTTTTTCAGAAAACAAAGCATCAAATTACAAGGACCTTTCATATAGCACCTGCTGTGGGCTGCTAACCACAAAGTCAGCAGTTCAAAACCACCCGCCACCTGAAAGAAAAAGAGAAGGCTTTCTAATCCCATACAGCAGCGGTTCTCAGCCTGGGGGGTCACGACCCCTTTGAGAGTCAAACGACCCTTTCACAGGTCATAACAGTAGCAAAATTAAAGTGATGAAGTAGCAACGAAAATAATGTTATGGTTGGGGGGTCACCACCACATGAGGAACTGCATCAAAGGTTCGTGGCATTAGGAAGGCTGAGAACCACTGCTGTCGAGAGGTAAAGTCTCAGAAAGCCACAGGGGCAGGTCTGCCCTGTCCTCGGGGGTCACTAGGAGCTGAGATGGACTCGATGGCAGTTGAGTTCGGTTTGTCAGCTTGGGTTTTGGTCTAGAACTGAGGTTGGCAAACGTTGTCTGGAAAGGGCCAGACTGCGGACAGCCAACTTACATGGGCCACATCACCTCTGGTACCAAGTCCTCAACTCTGCAACAGCGTGACCACAGACAAGATGCTCCAAACACATGATGTGAGAAGGCAAGGGTTGGGTTTGGTCTCACGGTCTGTGAGCTCCGAGTCTAGACTTTAGCATTACTGGTTTATAGACGGTCCCTCGCTGCCATCAAATCGATGCTGACTCACAGTGACCCCATAGGACAGCGGACAGCTGCCCCTGGGGGTTTCCAAGGCTGTCGCTCTTGATGGGAGCAGAAAGCCTCCTCTTGCTCCCGTGAAATGGCTGGGGGTTTCCAACTGCGGACTTTGCTGTGGTTAGCAGTCTAACACGTGAGCCACGGGCCACCAGGACTCCTGTTAATAGACTGTAGGACAAAACAAGTGTTAATAGAAATATGTCCCCATAAATAAAATCTGTGGATTGCTAGCAGATAAATTTCGGAGAGAAAAGTTTTCTGGAAAAACAAATTGTGGTAGTCACCTAATCTGGTGCCGATTTGAGGATTAAGAGTGTAGGTGTGGAGTCTAGCCTGTCGATCTGGAGATAGCCAATGAGACCTCTGTGTGGGCATGGCCTTCTCCTGAGAATTCTGGGAAATCTGGGACTTCCTCCTTGGAGGCAGAAGACACCTCTCTCTCTCTCTCTGCCACTCCCTGGGAGACATTGCAGAAGACAAGCCACATGGATGCAACCAGACCTCTGAAGCCAGAGACCCCTGCCAGCGCTGAGATGCTTACACTGGACCCAAAGACTTTCTACCACTGGCTTGTGATCATCCAGCATTTGGCTTCATTGCATGTGTTTCATGAGTCTGAAGAGGACTTTATAGATTGATATAGGACATAGGGGCTAATATCAGACTTATGGACTTGATCTGGATTGGGCTGGGATGTTTTCACCATGTTCAATTACTCTTGTATATAAGCCTCTTTCTTATACACATATGTGTGTCCATGGATTTGTTTCTCTAGTCTACCCGGACAAACACACAAATCTTTCTCCTAATTGTAAGTATGCAACACTAGAGAGAGATGCAGTGCACTCTCCGAGGTACTTAAGCATTTTAAACTTAAACTTAAGCATTTCAACAACTCTAAAATAATGGAGGGCTACTTAAATATAATTTCATAAAATGGTTGTATCTTGAAAAAGATTCCTAAAACATACCGCACAGTATAATTCAGACACAGTGATCTTATTATCATCCCACTACAAAGTACTGTTTTCAGTCTCAGGTAAACCATTTGACATTCTCCTTTTATCAGTCTAACTCAATGTGAGGGTCATAGAGCTAACCAATCCTAAGTCTGCTTTATCTCTTCCCTCATTAAAAAAAAAAATCGCTGGGGCCAGATTTAGCACTTTGCTAAGCCCCTTACAGGTATGACTAATATGCCTCTAAAATTTTTTTATTTTAGCTTGAAAACTTATGTAAGCAAAACTGCAACTTTCATGCAATATTAAGTGTACTTTGTCGGGGAGAAGGGGACCCACAAAAGGAGATTGATAAACTTCAAGTAAACCATTTTCTAAACTGTTTTTCATTAGTTCCACAGCAAACTGAAATCTACATAATATTCTGATGCTCAGAATTTAATGGTTAATGGAAAGCATAGATTTCACTTCCTAAAATTATGGTGCAGGGGTATGAAATGCCATCAAAGTAAAATTCAGCTGTAAGAAGATCCAAGAATATATTCCTTCTTCCTTGATCCCTAAGTCCCAAGTGTTTCCTTATAAATAATTAAATTAACAAAGGTCATCGTAAACGAATATGGTAACAATGTATCATGACCCAAATATTATAATCAATTCAATTCTATGTATCTAGAATCCATTTTTAAAAGAGGATGAAATGTGTGGCTCAAACTCATTGCGAGTCAATTCCATCCCGTTACCACCCTACCGAGACTGTAATCTTAACAGGAGTATAAAGTCTCATTCTCCTTTGGAGCCGCTGGTAGCTTCAAACTATTGCTCTTGAAATTAACAGCCCAACTCATAATCCACTACACTACCAAGGCTCTTTAGTCAATATTAGAAGAGGGCAAATCATACAAATGTCATGAATTATTGGCTCGACCAATCTTAAGCGTCCCATGGGCATGGCACCCGCATTCTGAGAAGACGAGAAGGAAAGGAGAGTTAGGGTCCAGAAAGTCAAGAGAAGAGGCAGAGAGCGTAGCTTCAAGGGACGCTCAGGCAGGTCACCCCAGACAAAAGAGGTTGCAGGCCCTGAGCAATGAGTAAGCTCCCATCCTCCCAACACAGCTGCCTGGAATAAACTCTCACACTGACTTGGCACCACACTTTGAGCACAGAGCCAGTTTGACCACTTGGGGAAGTAGGGGCTTTGGCTAGAGTACAAACCAAAGTTTCTTGGGCCCACTCCAAGCCCTCCACTCAAATGCTACCAAATCAGTTAAACTTCTGCCATCAGCCTTATGCCTAGATGATTTGGAGAATTTTCCTGGCTTCCCCAATTCTCTCGTGCTGCCTTGAGTTATCTGAAAAGTCTTTAACTGGAGGCAAAGACTCTTGCTTTATCATTAGAGATAAGAGGTTTAAACGACAAGAAATGAAAACAAGATAGCAACTAAAACTCATTCACCATTGGTTTTAGTCAGTCAACCCCCAAGCATGAGAGACCAATAGGTTCCTTTTCTGTTTTCATAAACAGAAGAGTCAGAAAGCAAGTAGATCGTAGAGTGTATTTCCACCAAGGGAGGAAAAAGATGCAGGCAGAAATTGCAGTAGCTAACTACAAAGGTCCACACACAAGCTCATGGCTTATGGAGAGGTGGTATCACAAGATCTTCTCACAGCTTAGTAGGACATTCAGGGTCACTAAATTTCTCTTTACTCTGGAACAGCTCAAAGTCAGCCATCCTACATCAATTTAAGATGAAAACCAAGAGGATTCGGTTTTCTTTCCACTTGGATGGCTCACTGACATGACCAAATTATAGAAAGGGGAGAAAAACATAATCTTAAGAATCGTATTTTCAAATATAATCTTACCTGACCTATGGGGTAATTTTAGAACAAAGGGCTTCATATCTACCACAAAGTGATCAAATTCTGCATCCAGCTTCTCCCATTGTTCTTCACTCCCCATTTCCACACTCTAGTCTGTAAAAGATTTAAGGTTAAAGTATTAGTCTGGATGCTGAAAACTGGGAAATTCTGATAGGAAACAGCAAAGAGGATGCAATAAATGGAAAAGTATCATGTTCATAGGCTGGAAGACTCATTAAATGAAAAGGTCAATTCTGTCCAAACAGATCAGCAGATTTAATCCAATTCCCATCAAAATTTCAACAATATTCTTTGTTTAGAGAGACAAGTGGATGATAAAATGTGCATTGAAAGATAAAGGAGCTAGCATAACCAAAACAATTTGAAAAAGGAGAAAACCGTTCACACTACCCAATTTTCATATGTACAGTACAGTAAGTACAGTTGTCAAGACATATATCATATTGGTAAAAGGGCCCACAGACCATGGTACCATGGACCAACACAAACAAGGAATGGTGATTTCCACAAAGGTGCAAATACATGGAGAAAGAATAGAGTAACCATAAATGATGCTTTAACAACTGGGCACCTAGATGCAAAAAAAAAAACCAGAAAAAATCTAACCTTGGCCTAAACTTCACATTGTATATAAAATTGACTCAAAATGGATCACCAATATAAATGCCAAACTATAACATCCTTATTAGAAAACATAAAAGAGAATCTTTAAGACCTTGGGCCAGGCAAGACTTCCTTAGCTGTAACACTAAAAGCACTAGCCACCCAGGAAATATTTGATATGTTGGGCAAAATCAAAATGCTTGCTCCGCAAAGAACATTGTGCAGACAAGGAAAAGACAAGCCACAAACTGGGGGAAGACATCTGCAAAGCATGTGTCTCATAAAGGACTTGTTACCTTAAAACTCAACCACACAGCTGAACAAATGACTCAATAAAAAAGTCAGCCAAAGTGGAGTCCCTTCACCAAAGATGGTAATATATACAGACAGTAAATAATCATGAAAAGGCTCAACCATAGTAGTCCCTTCACCAAAGATGATATAGATACAAGTGGCAAATAAATATGGAATGGGCACAACTTCATTAGCCATTAGGGAAATGCAAATTAAAGCCACCCCCATGAAGACAGCTAAAGGAAAAATGCAAACAAAACAAATGCCCATTTGGATGTGGACCAACAGGAAGGCTCGCTTCTGGCTGGTGAGAACGCAAAACGGTGAAGTCCCTGGTTGAAACATTGCAACTGGTATTCCATCAATTCCCGGAGCCTTGTATTTCACTAACGCCTTGAGTGCAGCCTGGATTTCTTCCTTTACTATCACCAGTTCTTGATCATATGCTACCTCCTGAAATGGCTGAACACTGATCAATTCTTTCGGGTACAGTGACTCTATGTATTCCCTCTATCTTCTTTTGATACTTTTTGCATCGTTCAGTATTTTCCCATGCAATTCTTCAATGTTTCAATTTGAGGCTTGAGTTTGTTTTTTCTTCCTTTATTTCAGCATGACACATGCCCACCAGCATGTGCTTCCTTTTGTGGCTTGCTAACTCCAAGTCTTTGAACAACTGACGGACAAACAGTGGTCTTCAGGAGCAAGAATACTATTCACCACTACTCACGTATCATCAGAAACGGCCATCCGATCTTCTGGATACAGAAGAAACAGTTTCAAATTCAAATGAGAGTGAAAATCAATCTCATTTATATGTGTTTTTAGGTTGGTTGGTTGGTTGGTTGGTTGGCTAGTTGGTTGACTCATTCATTGTTGGGTTCTACTTGACATGCCAATAAAATATGACATCAGTTACAGACTTGGTTAGCCAGGGATAGGAAACCACCTCTGAAGGTCTTTTCTCCTGGAGAGTAACTGGTGGGCTTAAAGCCCTCCCTTTCGGGAGAGCCGAAAAATGTTGAACTACAGTGCTGCCAGGGTTCCCTGGAGGGCTAAAGCAAACGTATTCCTAATAATCACTCGGTGTCCCTACAAAAGGTGAATCATGCCACTACTAGACAACAGGCTGCCACCTGGAATCCACCCACAGGCACCTTCCTGGTGACCTGTTTCCTAAAGGTTGCAGCTTGGGAAACCCACAGAGCAGTTACACTCTTCATCTAAGGGGATGTTGTGAGTTGGAAATTACTGAATCGCAACTAACAATAACAATAATCACTGATTTTTAACAAATCCTTTGACACAATCGAGAAGGGTTCTCGTCTTTAAAGTTAGAGAAAATGAAAACAAATAAATGTCCCACCTATATTTCTTCTTCAGCAAAAATATAAACCCATTTTTACTCTTCAGCAAAAGTAAATAAATAAGTGACCCGCCTGGGGGCAGGTGGGGTAGGAGTGGCCTGAAACCAAATGGTCAGTGGTGCAAACCCAGCAAGATAAGGAGAAGCTGTCTGCTCCTGTACAGATTTCCAGTCTTGGGAACTCTATAGAGGGCAGCGATGAGTTGGTATCCACGCAATGGCAGTGAGCTTGGTAGTTACAGAAATTAATTCAAAAGTTAAGAAAGAAGTAAATGAGGTGACTTGTGTTTATATTAATACACCATATTTGGACCGTGTCTTTTGTTAGACTCACCAGCATCATCTTTCGTATTTTAAGCCTCTTTACTTGTGGATAGCTACAAAGTGGGCTAAGACCTTCTTAGGGGGACTTAGCTGCCATAGAGGTCAGCAAAGCATGAATGAGCATTCTACGTTTCATCCAAAGCAGCCACGACTGCTAAGAAAATTACTCTACTTCACTCACATTGTGTCCCAATGCACCTTCAAGACACCTGTTCCTGAAAGGTGTCCAAAATGAATTCGGTTGGATCCAATCCTATTTTGAAATTTCCCCCTGGGCATTAAAAAAAACTACAGCAAGTCCCTTCAGTCAATCAAAAGACTGGCAAAAAAACTAACAAGCAAGTAAACTCACTGCCAAGGAGTCTATGCCAACTCATAACCACCCCGGAGGGCAGGGTGGAACTGGCCCTGTGGGCTTCCGAGACTGTAACTCTTTGATAGTGGAAACCTCAACTGGCTCCAGCAGAGCACAAGGTGGTTTTGAACTGCTGACTTGGTGGCTAGCAGCCCAAATGCGTAATCACTACGCCAAGGGCTCCCCCGAAGGCTTGCCAATGCCTGCTTTCTCGGGGCCCCACATACCAGTGGTGGGCCAGACCGCCAGCACTTCCACCTGGGCCAGACCCCGTGCTGTGAACTTTCCAAACTTGATCTCTTTCAATCCCCTGGCCATTTCACAGGAGCAGAAGCCAAGGCTTTGCTGAGTTAAGCCATGGCCTTGGGTAAGGCGGGGCGTGAACACGGAGTACAGGCGGGCGGGCGGTGGACCCCCATCGGCTGCGGCCTGACCACCGTCTCCGGAGCCTGGACACTTAGTGGTGAGGATCGTCGATGACATTGCCCTTTCCTATCTACTTTGCATCCGTCTTTAAATATGATGGACAATGAATAAAAATAGCTGTCGACTGAGCAGAAAAGCTGTTGGTGGTGGCTTGCGGTGCCTCACGACCTTGGAATGTCAACCACGCACAGCATCCTGGTTCTCCGCGGGATCCAGGGGACACTGGTTCTGCTCTGTCCACAGACGTGGTCACGTCCTCGGCCGGTGGGGGTGGCCTGGGCCGCGTCCACGCTCCTACCTTGTCCAGACCCCCGGCTGCTTCTCGCCGGCAGCAAAGCGCAGAGGTCCGAGGTCCGGTGGACCTGCTCCGGGGGCTTAGCAAACTTTCTTTGGAACTTCCCGGTGGGTAAGGGAATCCCAGGGCCTGCACCGGGCGCCCACGAACTGGGCGCGCGCGCCCACCCCGGCCCCGGGCCTGCGGGGCGAGGCCCCTCGGAGAACCAGCCCGCCCGGCGGCGCGGCCGCCAGCCCGCGCGCACTTCCACTCCAGAACCTGAGGGTCGGGTGCGGGGGAGGGAAAATTCGGAAAAATCCAGAACCTGGCGCGCCCACCGCACGTTTTCCGCCCGGCCGCCACCGTCGCCCTGGCCGCCGCCACTCGCTTTCAAATCTTTGCGGGCCACTCCGGCCACCACCGCCCAGCCGGCGGGGAGGCGGGGACTTCCGCGTTCCCATGTCACCGCCCTCCGGGCATCCGCGACCGCGCTGCGCCGTTGCCATGGTAACAGCCGTTGCTGGGACCCCCGCCCCGCCAGCCGGAGGCGG